TTCATCAGATTGAATATCGATAGACTGTTGATTCTTCGTTGGAGATTGATGTCGGAATTCTCCAGCCGGCGGCATCTTAACGGCGGCGGAAAAAAGAAACCGATTTCTCTAACTTTCCCAATTTCGTGGCTTTAATTTTTTAATCTGATGAATTTTTTATCGTGCGGATTTTTTTAATCCACAAATTCAAGATAACGATAGTCCACGTGTCGTGTGATTAACGTTGATTCTTCAAAAACAAATTGGAGCCGTTGACCAGAATATTAGCCGTTAGATCAGATTCATCCTTCCGAAAATCGACGGTGGTGATACTGCCGACAGTTCTGACCAAAAAAGTTCACTGTAGAAGAGAGACACCTCACAGACATCATAAAAAAAAAAAAATCAAAAATTTCATTATAACAGAAGATCGGTTCGGCAAACCAATAATAAACCAAACCGATTTGGTACAAACAATTTCGGTTAGATGATAAACAAAGTTATGAAGAGGTAATTCTCATCCCCTTGTGCTCTGCACATCTCTTACGTCCTTTAACCGGAGATCTCTCACATATCAATCCATTACACAACTTAACGCCGCATGCTACTTGTGTTCCGGTCACCGAATGAACATTTTCCGGCGATAATTCGTCGGGAGTTTTCTCTTTATGTTGCCAACATCTTTTGCTTCCTTTAGGAGAACTTCTTGTACAAGGTAAGCCATTCTTTGTTGTAGCTTCACAGAAACGATTTGAAGCTTCTTCTTCGTTTATTTCGGTATGCGTTTCGGGATTATATTTCTCGTCTTTGACGGTTTTCTCACGATCTGTTCGGTTAAGAAGAAAAAGGAAAGCATTGATCCTCATGCCTTTATGATCCTCACATCGTTTTCTTCCTGAAACAGGTCTCTTATTGCAGGGTTCCATGTTAGGTAAGATCACTCCACACATAACATCAGATTCTTTGATATCGTGAACCTCGGGCTTTAGCGGTTTCTGTTTTTCCGGTGAAACACGGCAAATTCTTTGCCCTTTATGCTCTATGCATCTCTTTCTTCCTTTTACTGGATCTCTATTGCAAAAACCACCATTTTCAAGTATAACTCCACAAACAGAAGCAGAACCATCAGTCTCGTCGAACCTGTCTGAAACCGGGCGAGGTCTAGACAGGGAGAGTTTGAATATCGAATTGAGGAAATTATGACTCTTCTTCTCTTCATCAACAACACAGCTTAGCTTTGTCTCTTCTTTAAGCACATGCTTCTCTCCTTTGATTTTTATACCAACTTGGTTCCTAAGAAAAGGAAAAAGCACCTGAGATATTCCGGACTTTCTCTTGCTCATAAACCCGCGATCACCGAGTTTCTTAAGCAAATCAATCTGTCGTCGTTCCCCGTTACTACCTTTGTTCCACGCATAGTCAAATGTGCTCAAAAGTATCCCTTCTGTTGCCTCTGCTTCCCTCTTAGACCCCATCTGATAACAAAATGAGATCAAAGTTATATATACTTTACCAAATCAAAACACAAAAGATAAGAAAACATGTGTATAATTTACCGGAGCCCATCTATATAAAACCGAGCCTTCTTTCGAGAATATGTCCTCAAACAAACCAGCGGTCACAACCTTCTTATCTATGGATTCAATGGCTTCACTTTCACAGACGTTAAGGTTGTTGACATTGCGCAAATGAGCACCTGATCTTCCATAACGCTGAAGTCTAGATCTAACGCTTTCAGCTTGTCCAAGATATGCAGCAAGAACATCATCCGAGTCAAGCTTCCGGCATTGGTCTTTACCGATGACTGCTACACCGAGCTCATAAAGACCCGGACAAGATTTACAGGGTAAGTTCTGGACTCTGTATCTACCTACACCATCTTTTCCATTCTTGAAATCCTCCCAATCTTTGGATCCTATAAGAACCTGGGTATACAATATTAAGCTTAGCATCAAACATCACACAATCCAATTGGTTTCAGAGTCTAATTTAGGTATAAAATTTACAAATTTGTACAGAAATCCAGAGAACAAGGAGACATTCTTCAAAATGGTTTACTAAAAAACATAGATTGGATCCAAATGGGGAAAATCCGACAGAGATAATGCAATCGAACAGAGCTTAGCCCTATTTCTTAGATTTCAAGTAGATACGCATTAAAGATGCGATCTTTGCAACGGAAATCCAGGAAAACGAAGATGGGTTCTCTTAATTCAACTCAAAATCAGACAATTTCCAAAAAGGGATTCAGAGAGAACACAAGATCCCAAACTCAGATTCAAGAACCGATCTCAATTGAATTGACAAATCGAAAGAGAGAGATTGCAGACAGAGAGAGGACCTTCCAGTTGGAGAAAACGGCGTCGTGTTTAGTCCGTTTGTAATCTTCTCTTTTGAACACAGTGGGGACGACGGCGAAAGAAACGCCGTCGCCGAAATCCATTCCGATCAAACCAGAGATAAAACAGTTAAAGGCCC